ATATAATGCTGGCCATACGATTGTCCGAATCGATTTGCTTACCCTAGGTTGCCGACAAGAAGGTTTAGTCAGTCTTGGCCTTCTTAAAGGCTCTTGCCCTCTTCTTATACGACTGCGAACGCTCCTGATCCGTTTGGTTTGTCTCTGGGTTTTGGACCTCAGTGGCAATTTCGTTTGGTTGGGATTGCTCTTCTCAACTAAGAAAAGTAAAAAGTCCAAGTGTCGCTGGCGAAGTGGGGGGCCCATCCTTATTCGCGCTTCAGTTTCTTCCTATTGACAAATATTATAATATTAAATATTGAGTATCCAAATACCCAGAGCTTCCCGGGCGCAGCACGGCATTAGTTAAAAACCTGGATACACAAATAAAGTGCTTGAGGAAAAACGTAGAAAGTGGAAAGCTCACATTAAGCTAACTAGAAAATTGATTTGCAAGAAGTAGCAGGAGTGATTATTGACTTTGGATAGTATGAGGCGCTCTTATTGCTGGCAAAGGAAAAGTAATGTGTGTTAGACATAAGTGAATTGGAATTGGCAGCGGTTCTTTCTGACAGCAAGAAATGCTGTAGCCATGACCAAATACCTAACTCAATGTCCATAGTTAGTCAGTCACACGGTAAACTTGCAAAACTGACACGAGTGAGATTCGAACCCACGCCCGAAGACTGGTGCCTAAAACCAGCGCCTTAGACCGCTCGGCCATCGTGTCGATACCTACACAGCATCTAATTTTATTAGTTAATTCACTAAGGATGAATGACATGAGTCAAGATAACCACAGGGCAACATAGGGAACGATTTGGATAGTCTTTGAAGACTTGAAGGCGATCTTACGAGAAAGTCTACTTTGTCAGGCCACTAAACACCTGGATGATAAAGGCGTCCGCCTTCCTCGCCCAATAAACTACCTGCATTCCAGAGCTTATACAATGTTAGGCTCGTCTTCGGTACAAATATATTATCAAATGGTGCCAGGGCTGGTAAAATCTGCTTTTCCAGAAGGAAGGGAAGGAAGACACTAAGGGCGAGTCGAAGAGATGAGGAAATGCTTGTTGGCGAGGTTGAAAAATCAAAAGTGAGTTTGGGATTGAGTTGGTTAAAGCTAGCTACCTCTTCTACGATTCCTGTCCTCATAGACTCCTATCCCATCTTGCATCCCAGATGCTGAGGCTGAACATAAGAGTCGTACGATTATGCACAGTATAGAGTCGTACGATTCTGCAACTTACGAGTCGTACGCTTCTGCAACCCACGAGTCGTACGGTTCTGCTTGCAATATCCAGTGAACACAAGCGTGCGACATCACCCATCAACTCTAATAACCAAGCCAAAATAACTACGCCCAGTGCATTTTGATACAGTTTGTCTGACAGTGTGACGCACGACCACCATACTTAACCCTACCAAGTGCGCGTCTACATCTCCAACACATTTCGTTCCTGCGTAAGGAAGCCTTCTTTTGCTAGTGTAATGTCATGAGTATGTCCACATACATAGCACGGATTGAAGATAGTTTGCACTGTCCGGATGGCCGATCTGTCACACCGCTCGGCGACGTTATTGTTACAGTTATGTCGATGTATTGATGCACTTGGTATCGTTTCGTTGTTTCCTGTAGGCGCTTCAGCAATGGCAACATCGGCTGATCCCGACGAAGCCAAAACACTTGTGTCAGCAGCCGCCGATTCCTTAACGGGAGTAGCCGTTATGCTGCTGGTAGATCGCCAACACCTTCTTGAGACAGTACAGTCTAGAGATTGCGCCTGGGTTTGCTTCTCGCAGTGGGGCTAGAACGTGCACGAGCCAAAGACTTCGTTAGTTCGCCCGTCCGTTGCTTCAGCTTATGCCAAAGACTTCACAACCGTGTCTCCACTGAGACTCTCGACCACCTCCGTACCACGCAGTACGTCGCCCGCGACCTCCACATGTTCCTCGGTTGCGGGACCTTTCCCGTGCAAAGCCGTCCTCCGTCTCCACGCACCCGTCCTTAGACGTCGGTGCGTAGGCACGCCCCGTGCTGTCGCGAAACCAACGCTGCACGCCTCATTCATCCTCGGTAGTCCGTCAATCAACTCAGCACGCCCAGCACCCCTCACAGGCACTGAACGCTCTGATACCGTTCGTCCGCCCGTCACTCAGTCCAACTCAAACGCCCCACTAGTGCTCTTGGTCGCGACTCTCACTTCGTCCACTTCTCCCAGATGCTTGCCCTCGACTTGGCAAGTTCTGGACTGAACCTCACGCCGGCCTGCTCGCGCTGGACGTGCACCCAGATGTCCGCCCTGAAGTACAATGCCAGCTGCGCCTCAGCCGCACGTACGGCCCGCGTCGTCCTACTCTTCGTCACGTTTGACCGTCAACTTGCGGTCATCGCACTCGCCCTTCTGGATTTGGCGACCTTCCAGCTCGGTCGTCGATCTTTCATCGCCGTACTTCAATCACGCCTCGCTGTTGAGCACCGTCGCGTGCACGGCATCACTATCAGGATCCTTCGCCAGTACTGTCGGCGTCATTCGCGTCAGCGCCCTGTTACACGTTTTCTCCACATACAGGGTCTTCCGCGACCCTGTCGGAATGAAAGAGTCGGTCGTATTCTCGCACGGATACCCAATGCCCTTCGTCTCCCGTCTTGCCTGTAGATCCATCTCGTGGTGATCCACCGTCTCGAGCCGGCCGTAGCTGGTACTCGAGGACGTAATGTCCAGCTTCGTTTCGCCTCCGTCTGCGCCGGAATTCCACCAGTATCTCGTTCTGTCCTCCGCCGCTGTCCGCACTTGCCACTGTCTGAGCATTTCGTTTCTGGCTTCGTGACGCAACTGTTGCGTGTACAGGAACTTTCGTTGCTCCCATAATCTCGCCTGCCGCCGTGTCATCGTTCGCGTGTTCGAGCGCGCTTTCATACTCGAGTTGCATCTTAATATCCGCCGCCACCGCTTCCAGTAATGTAGTAGATAACCAAAAACGACGTGTGTGCTATAAATTGCTCACGACTTCCTTCATCGTCCTCACGTTCCAACAGGTGATTGTCATATCCCGCCTGTTCAATCACGCTCATCGGTCCGACCCATTGATGTACGAACTTTGAGGCTTTGGGCCCCCTCGGAGGTCGGTACATCCACACGCGACCATTCGGCTCAATCCCCCCCCCCCCCCCACTTCCGCCGTACTTTGCGATTGTAATACTTAACCTGTCGTCGTTGTTCTCATTCTCGTGCTCGTTCGGCGCATGCGTGACTGGCTCTCTCATCGCTGCGAGCAAGCGTCGATGATAGCTGGTCAACTCGCCTGTTTCTGCAACGCCCACTCTCCGCAGTAGGTCGTTGGGGCTCCGCAGCTGTCTCCCCATCATGAGATCATTTGGTGACAGCACCACCGTTAAATGCCGTCCAGAATTGTATGCGTAGACCGCGAAGTCCACCCAGACGTCCCAAACGCCTGCTCCGTGTCGTCCACGTATGCCGCAACGCAGTCCTTCCAGGTTCTGTAAAATACCTCAACTAACCCAATCAGTTGTGGTCTGAAGGGCGCGGGATTGCCTTGCTGGGCTTGCAGCAAGATGACGAGGTGTTCTGTCACATTGCCAACAGTTCTGGCGCCCCATCCGTCAGCAATTCTCGAAAAGGTCCGGACTGTACCACCACATTCTGCATTAGAAACGACGCCACATTTTCTGCAGTGTGTTGCTGTACAGTCACAGCCACGGCGTACCTGGTGACGTATTCCACCGCCGCAATGATGAACCTTTGTCCACTATCCGTCGTAGGCAGCGGTCCGGCCACGCTTAAGGCCCACCTGTCTCCCACGTCACCACCCCCGTGGCCTCGCTTTCCTACTTCCGCATTCTTGGCAACCACGCACCCAACGCTTCACTTCGCGTTCGAGGTTCGGCCACCAGTAGGTTTGCAAAATTCGTGCACACGTATGAGCAGTTCGCAGGTGCCCTGCCCATACCGAGTCGTGGTTCTCCTTGAACGCGATTGCCCACAACGCTGGTGGGAGTATCACGCGCGGTCCCGCCGCTGTCTCATCACCGCCAATCCGAACGTCGTCGTGACCTTCTTGCCTTGGTGCAGACTGTCCTTGATCAACCGCCTCACCAGCTGATTGTTCTTCTGGGCGTCAGCGGTCTCGTCGTCCGTAAGCTGCAACGTTGGCCAACTCGCTCGCTGCGTCGCCCATTTCCGACGTCGCTCTGGCCGTCCAGGTCCTGGTCATACTCCCCCGTCATGCGGCATATCGAACCGCACTCGTTTCCTGCCGCTCGTGGTCCGCTTCGGATCAGTCGGTCCTTCGTCTCCGTGTTCATCGTACCGCCAACCGCGCCATTCTTCTTTGTTCCTCGTCGGTCCGCCGCCTTCACCCTGGCCTCGCTCGGTGAATACATAGTCGCCGTTACTGGCGTCCTTCGTCGCTGCGTCGTTGGTGGTCTTCGGAGCGTCGCCGTACTATCCGTCATGTTCGACTTCGTCGTCGCTCCCTCAGCCTGCCCCAGTTCCGTCGACTTCGCACTGCTGACCTCGTCGCCCGGCAGATGCGTAGCCATCACCGACTCCGCCTCCCTTAGTCGTTCTTCGTTCATTCGCCGCTTCACCGCACGGGTGAAGGGCCGGGTCGCCTCCGTGGCACTTACCATCCTTTGTTTACGTCGCATGCGCCGTTCTGTCGTACTGGACGGCGCTGTAGCCGCTTCCGTCTGACCGGGACCCTTGCCCGTCCCGTCTTCCGTCTTCGTAGTCGCCTGATTGCCGCTCACTCCCACCATTCGCCGTTCCTCGTTATTTGTTGCCTTCCGCCGCTCTGATCGCACGTTGGCGACCACACTCGCCACCAAATCAGCCAGCACGTCGCCCAGCACGTCCTCAACGCACGTCCTTCCCGCGAACGTCGTGGCACCTGCTCCATCTCTCGTAGCCGGCACCACCCATTCAGTCGCCGTTTCCGCGCCGTTGACCGCTGTTGTACCCGCTGTATCCGCTCGTCCTGCCGCCCTTTGTCGTGGCCGCGTCCTTCGACCAACCGCCGTCCTTGTCGTAGCCACTGTTGGTGCTCGCGAAAGCGCATCTGCCACTACGTTCGTGGTACCAGGCCGATATTCAACATCAAAGTTGAACTCTTGTAGAGTCAATGCCCAACGATGTAGTTTGTCAGTTAGGTTGGGACTTATCATCGACCACTTCAACGCGGAGTGGTCGGTGACGATCGTGAAGTTATGCCCGTAAAGGTAAGGCCGAAAGATTTTGATAGCCCAGACCACTGCGTAACCCTCCAGCTCTGTAATGCCGTACTTACTTTCCGTCACACTGTTCATTTTGCTGTCATAGGTGACCGGTCGCCAACCGTCGCCTTTATCTTGCATCAAGCAGGCACCGAGACCCACTTGACTCGCGTCGGTCACCACTCTGAAGGGCAACTGAAAGTCTGGATAGATCAACAGCGGCTGCTTCGTCAATTCTGCCTTTACACAATCAAACGCCGATTCCTGAGCGGGCGTCCACTCCCAGTCCACGTTCTTCCTTAGTAGTTTTGTAATGGGCGCCATTATGGAGCCGAATCCCTCGACAAATCGCCGGTAGTATCCTGCAAGATGCACGAAGGGCTTGGCTTCCACCGCGTCCTTCGGTCTCGGGAAGTCCTGTACCGCCGACACCAACCGTGGAAGTGGCCGAACTCCGTCGCTACTCAACTCGTGGCCTAAGTATTCCATCGCCGTCGTGGCGAACAAGCATGTCTTCAACTTGAGTGTGAGTCCAGCCGTAGCCAACCGCTCCAGTACCGTAGCTAGCTGTCGTGTAATACCTCCTCGTGTAAAGACAATAATGTCACCTAAATACACTAGACACGTTGACGACGTCAAACCGCGTAAAACATGGTTCATCATCTGTTGGAATGTCGACGATGCATTCGTTAAACCGAATGGCATGCGTACGAATCTGTACAAACCCTTCTTCGTTGTGAATGCAGTCTTGTACTTGTTCTCCGGTGCTACGCGAATTTGCCAGTAAGTCTAGTGTGGTGAATAGCGATGCCCCACCCAGAGCCTCCAGCGTCTCGTCAATTCTGGGGAGCGGGTGTACATCTTTCTTCGTGATTTTGTTGAGGGCGCGATAATCCACACAGAACCTGACTGTACCATCTTTCTTCTTTACTAGGACCACCGGGAATCCCCAAGCGCCGATTCCTTCCTCGAACATACCGGCCTGAAGCATCTTAGTCACGTTATCGTCTACAATCTCGTCTTCCATCTGTGCTTGGCGTCGTCGTTTTTAGCATTATCGTTGCCGCATCTCCAGTATCTATGTGATGATATACGTCGAGTGCCGTCGCTGGTGGGCAATCCCCCGTGTTCGTTGACAGCTTCCGGTACACTCGTAACAATTTTAATGCAAGATCACGCGCTTCCGTTTATCGGTACCAATGTGCACTTCATTTTCGTCGTCTAATGGTGTCGAAACTAGCGCCCATAGTCTCTAACCACTGAATCAGTCGTTCCTTGTTCAGTTCGCCGTTCATGGTCATCACGGTCATGTCGTCATCAATGGACACCCACGTTCCCAATTCCTTCTTGTTTGGTAGTTTGGAGGGTCGGTTATTGGCGTTTATCGCCGGCATCCAAGCCTTCCCGTCACGCGCCGTTGTTACTGTCGCTGCCATCATGACGGCACCCATGTATGTCGTAGGTAGGAACAACCCGTTTGTGGTGAAGCGCCAGTTGGCTTTCGCGAATAAGAAAACTGATTGATGGGAAGTGACCCGATCCAGCCCTGAGACTCATGGTCGACGACGGTGCGTCAGTGATTACGTCATCATCGGTGAGGATTACGCAATCATCGGAGTGGATCGACATGGTGCAATC